AGGATTTGGACGAATAGTACGATTTGTTGGCCCTAAAAGAATAAATATATTATGTTGAACTTTATTATTAACTAAAACCTACGAATACGAGTAGCTGTAGTTGTCGCTATTGGTGTTAGTGTTGTTGTTGATGTTGCGGGTTGAATAAATGTTGTACTCTGTTGATAAGAGAAAAGAACGAATTAAAATAAGAAAGGAAAGAAAAACTCTATATTAACTTGTCTAGTAGAAGTTATTCGTTGAGCAGTAGGTGTTCTATTTGTATTATCATCTTCATCTTCTTCTGTTAAATCCACAACATCATGAGAAGTAGCCGTAGATAATAATGCTGGCGGCGGTGGTTGTGGTGGTGGTGGTGGCGGTGGTGGAAGTGAATTTGTTGATTGAGAATTTGTTACAATAGCTGATTTTGTTGTAACTGTTGATGTTTTATTTGTTATTGTTGTTGTTGCTAAAGCATTTGCAGATAAACGAGGTATTATTTGTTGTAATGATGAAGTTGATGATGATGATGATGATGATGATGATGTTTGAATTGAATTATAAACAGTATTATAATTTCGTGTAGCTGTTAATATTCCATTATTATTTGTTGTATGTGAATTCATTGTTGGTATAATAATAGATTTTTGTTGTTTAGGTGATATTTTACTATTATTTATTGTTGTTAAATCAGTTTGTACTTGTGAATCATGTTGATGAAGTTTAATTGTTTGTTGTTCTCGATCAATTTTTGTTAAATTAACTTGTTTTTGAATTTTATTTTGTTGATATATATTAATTAATTCTTCATGTTGACGTTTTAATGTTTGAATAAGACGATTATTAGTTAATGAACTTTCTTGTTGTTGTTCTAATCTAGCTTGTTTTAATGCTTGTTCAAATAGAAAATATTCATTGTTAAGTGGAGAATTTGATTTATGACATTGACATGTACATGTAGGAGAATCATCATTATTTGATGTTTCTAAAAAAAAACGTTTTTTTTTTTAATTATTTCGGTCGAATTCGATTTTTTTAATGTTCTATTGCAGAGATAATCTAGAAAAATTCTTCTTACTTTCGTAGTGAAATTTAAGTTTATGATGGCTATTGAACTAACAAGCGAACGTTCTGAATGATCGATTTTGATGAGTAGTGAAAAAGCCTATTTTGGTTTGGTCTTAAGATCTTAGCTTATTGAGTTATGGACATTTTATTCAATTTTTGTCCTACGAATCTAGAATAGTTGAGAACCTGGATAATTGAAATTTTGTTTATAGATTGATCTTATAATCACTAGAAGATCCTCAAAATTTGAACCAGAACGAAGACATTCTTGTCAAATTATTAATATTTTAAAGGAACGCCTGTTTTAAGTTAGGTATCAAAAGAATGACATTTCTATGGTAAATTGATATCTCGATACGGATACGTTTGTCCTAGTTCAAACTTGGAAACATTTCTCTTGATTATAAGGTTTATCCGTGGATAAAACTTCAGTTCGAAATTTATTCATTGTAATTCTCAGCGATTCTATACTCATAGAGCAACAAATTGAGTAAAGCACCTATAAGTCAACACGCGAAGATCAGAAAACCAGATCAAAATGAACTTTTTCATTATGCATCAAGACTGATCGAATA